GATATGCATGTGTCCGGGGTATTTCACAGCCGAACATACAGGATCACAGCATTCCTATCACTGAAACGTCTTCGCTCCTTACTGCCCGATGTCCGGATTCATCAGTAGCACAAGTGCGATCCTATTTGCCTGTGTGCGAGGTATATTACAGTCGAGCATACTCGCTCACAGCATTCCTATCACTGAAACGCCTTCGCTCCCTACTGCCTGATGTCCGGACTCGCTGATGTGGCCACAAGCTCCGCTGCTCCTTGTTAATTTCCAAATGTTAAATGCTCCGACTTTATAATTTTTATTCACTTAAAAACGTAGCTCCAAATACACTTATAATTTTACGATGTTTAATATATGTATGTATTTATCATTATATGTATGTGTATATGTGTTTATTTTTTTTATTATCATTATAATGTATATAGAACTCCAATATCGGTCGCACAGCTACCGCCGATAAAGCACGAATGATAAGTGAGGCTAATTTATTGTATTTTTCTGTTTTGTTTTTTGTTGTTGTTTTTTTTTGGGTTGCGCCAATTACAAAAAATTCAATCTGATCCAGAAATGGTATCAAATTTTTATGGAGTTATATTGTGTACGCTGTGTAATTCTTGTTGTTGCTGCTGCTGCTGCTGTTTGTTGTTGTTGTTGTCTGTTGCTTGTTTTTACTGTTGCTGCTGCTGCTGTTGTTGTTGTTGTTGTTGGTGGTGCACGTGGTCGGCCACATCTGCCTCCAGGCGCTGAATGTTGTCTTAAAATTGTTTAGTTGCTTCGGTTTTGTTTATGATTTTCTTTTTGTTTTTAGGAGGAAAAATTCATTTAAAAAATTGTGTTTTTGTTGTTGTTGTTGTTGTCTTGTGTAAAACTAGAAATCTAACTGTAAAGATCATCATCGCCATTGTCGCCCGGCGAGTTAACTGGCATATTGGTGCCAGACCCTGAGGTGTTGCCGGTATTACCGGGGAATCTACAATTAGGAAATTACAAATAACATTAAATAATAACCAATTAAATCGTTAATGTTCAGCTAAGGTCACCTGAAGTTCTGGCCAAAGCCGCGCGACTGTTGCAAAGTCTGAGCAAACATCTCGTATTTGCGTATGTCATTGTCCGAAACGGATCGGCGAGCGAATTTCATGGCCTCCTCAAAGTGAGCACGCGTTATCTCTGGCACTGGATCATCCTCATCCATCTGTCAAGAAAAATGAACAAAATATACAAAAATGGCTATTTTTTACTAGTTTTTCCAATTCATTTCAACTTACGTCCATGGCAGAGTTCTGATTCTCGGCGCGATCCTTTTCGCGACGGATCTCGGCCTCGATAGCCTGGCGAATGGCCAGCTTGCAGGCGCGTTGACAGATCTCGGTCAGATCGGCGCCCGAGAAGCCCTGCGTCACCTTGGCAATATATGTCAAATCGACCTCCTTGGCCAGCGGCGACTTGCGCAAATTAGCCTTGAGTATAGCCTCACGTGACTTGTCGTCGGGCAATGGAATATAGATCAACTGATCCAAGCGGCCCGGTCGCAAAATGGCCGGATCAATAATGTCGGGCCGATTGGTGGCGCCAATGATAAACACATTCTTCTTGGCACCCATACCGTCCATTTCGGTTAGAATCTGATTAATGACACGATCGGCAGCGCCGCCAGCATCGCCCACATTGCCGCCACGCGCCTTGGCAATCGAATCCAACTCATCGAAGAACAGCACACATGGAGCGGCAGAGCGAGCCTTGTCGAAAATGTCGCGCACATTGGCCTCAGACTCACCGAACCACATGGTAAGCAGCTCGGGGCCCTTCACCGAAATAAAGTTCGCCTGGCACTCGTTGGCGATGGCCTTGGCCAGCAGCGTCTTACCACAGCCGGGTGGACCGTAGAAGAGTACGCCACGGCTGGGCTGCATGCCAAACTTGAGGAACTTGTCGGGATGTTCGACTGGATATTGGACAAGTTCCTGTAGCTCCTTCTTGACATTCTCCAGGCCGCCAATATCTGTCCAGGTGGTGTTGGGCACCTCAACAACCGTTTCGCGCAGCGCCGACGGACTGGACTTGGTCATCGCATAGCGGAAGTTCTCCATGGTCACAGCCAGAGAGGCCAGAACCTCGGCATCAATCTTATCATCTTCCAGATCAATCAGATCCATCTTCTCACGGATTTGTTGAAGAGCTGCCTCCGAGCAGAGCGAAGCCAAATCGGCGCCCACATGACCATGGGTCTCAGCGGCAATCTGCTCGAGATCAACGTCCTCGTGCAGCTTCATATTCTTGGTGTGTATCCGCAGCACCTCCAAACGGCCGGTGGCATCCGGAATACCAATGTCGATTTCACGATCGAAGCGGCCAAAGCGACGCAGCGCCGGATCAATGGAATTGGGCCGATTGGTGGCCGCCATGACAATCAAATGGGAGCTCTTCTTCATGCCGTCCATCAGCGTCAGCAGCTGGGATACAATACGACGCTCCACCTCGCCGTGGGTCTTGTCACGCTTAGGCGCAATAGCGTCGATCTCATCAATGAAAATAATGGCCGGCGAATTCTTTTCAGCCTCCTCGAATGCCTTGCGCAGATTCGACTCGGATTCACCGGCTAGCTTGGACATGATCTCGGGTCCGTTGATCAAAAAGAAGAATGCGCCCGTCTCGTTGGCAACGGCGCGTGCAATTAGCGTCTTACCAGTACCGGGTGGACCGTACATAAGTATGCCACGCGGCGGCTTGACGCCAATCGCCTTGAAGAGCGACGGATGACGCAGCGGCAACTCAACCATCTCCTTGATCTGGGCCAGCTGCTTGCGGCAACCACCGATATCATCGTAGCCCACAGCATTCAAGGACTCCTCCTCCTCCTATAGCAAAGCGTAGGGTATATATTGAGAACATATAGAAACTCAATGGGAACGCAGTACACAGCGGATAAATTGACTATAAATGCCAGACAGCTACACTAATTCATCAAACCCAAGCCATGTCACCCACTGTGCTGCACATGCTGTAATTAAATATGTCCTTACCTCGCGCTTGATTGGATCACCATCACAAAAGATGACCGTTTCGGGCGCCACAATGCAGTAAGGTTCCGGATCGGTGAGCACCACTTTGAACTCAATGGGCCGCATGGCGGCGCGCACAATGAAATTGTCGCCCATATGTATGGGACGATAGGCCTCCAGGAAATAGGGTTTCAAATAGATCTCAAATAGATTGCCGGTAACACCTTCGGTGGTATCGTCGATGGGCAAAATGCGGACACGCTTGCCATACTTGACATCCGGGCAGGATTGCACAGAAACCACATCCGACAGATGAACGCACAGATTGTTGCGGACAACACGATTCATGCGTATCTTCTCATCCGGGCAGCTATCATCCGACAGCACAATGCAGACGGTCTCCTTGCGGCGTTTGCCCTTCAGGATGACAGTGTCGCCACGGAAGAGCTGCAGCTCATCCATTTTCGCCTAAACCAAGCGGATGAAGTGTTTAGCCAAGCGGAATTGCTGACGTGGCCTTTATGTTTTGATTGTTACCTGCGATAGCGACACGACGGAATTGTCATCGTTCTGCGCCTCCTCGACAATCAAACGATTGGGACGATCCTTTCGCTTCAGAATTGCCGTGGCCAGATCTTCGCTGCTTGGACAAAGAATCAAGTTAAGCACTCGTTGTGTGTTGTGGCAAAATAAAATAGAGAGCAAAAAAAAGAAAGCCCCTAGGCGCACCGTTTCTCGCCGGAGACCTGCGGCTTGGGCAGCTCCGGCTTCTCTTTCTTTATCAACAGCTCATCCTGCTCGCTGCGATAGTTGCGCACCATGTCGGTTATGTCTACATCCATTTTCTGGCCCTGGTCTATATTGTAATTGTTGTTGCCCGTGTCTGCAGCAGGCTGCTTCGGAAGCGAACGCTTTGAGCTGCTGGCGTTGTTTTCCTCGTTCCCACTGGACATTTTTGGTTTGCTTTTTGATTTCCAATTAGAAACAAAAAAAAAAAAAAACAGCTCACAACGCTGTCGTTGTTAACAGCAAACTAATACAGTAAATAAACTGGCCCACTTGGATACCATTTGGAATGGCATCAATTTTCCCACTTGTCCCTCCGCAACAAAGAAACGGAAGGAAAGGGCTGCAACAACAACTACAACGGGTAAAACGGACAAATGGCGACTTTCTGCGGCTTGCCCCAATTTCACAATCAAAACGTTTAGGTCTCAATTGTGCATTATTAGTTAAAGTATTCAAAATATATGCCTATTTCATATAAAATAACTCATTTTCGTCACATTTCAAGGCGCCTATTTCTTGGAAAGTTCTCAATTCATTTTCCTATGTGGCCTTTGAGTTTTTTTTTCTCATAGGGCCAATGACTGCGCGAAATTGAAGCTGTCTCAGCGCTGTGTCGGCTTTCGTTTGCGGCTGTTTATTGTTACATATACACTTACCCCTTGGAATCAGCCATAGTAAAAGATTTGTGATGAAACTTTTGAACTTAAATATACAAATTGGCGCGTTTAACTCTGTATTATATGTCTTTAAAAATCGAGCACAACTTTTGTAACAAAATCACAAATGATTTAGCTAAATGTTCGCATAGGGCTGCCAACTGGACTGAAGCAAACGCGTTGGCAGCTTGGCGCTGGAAAAGTGCTGAGTCGTGTGATAGTTAGGAATGGGACTTTGAAAAAGAATTAACCATCGATATTAATACAAATGCAACCAAGCGATATTTACGGCGTTGCCACTTTGATGTCAGCGACTATTTGGCGCACTTATTTAAAACAGAAAAAAATTTATTTTTAATTTCATTTAAGGAGAATTCTTTATTTCACGGTTGTGTAGAACGCTTGTATAAAGACATATATAAATACATATACATTTATATTTCTTATATTAATATTGAATACAAAATATGCTCTTGCCATTTGACATTTTGTGCAAAATTACACTGTTACATACAAAAAATTTGTTCAACGAAAACGAACGAGTAAATGCGTATTTTAATTAATCGTTTGCAGAATTTCTTTCAATTTTGTTTCGAAATATTATTTTTGGTGTGGTGTTTTTGAAGAGTATATTGGATTTCGGACATTTAGCCAGCATGCACAGACTGAAACGAAGTATAAAAAAGAGATAAATCAAATTAACGCAAAATCATATATGTAGAAAACGCAAAAGCGGAAAGCAAAAAATATATATATATGTACATATATGTAATTGCCACATTGCAGAAGAAACATATGTAACCATAGAACTTCATATAATGTCGCTACATTTCTCTACCAAGTCTTTTGATTGCCATTTGTTTATACTTAGGTCATTTTTAGTTGTTTTTTTTTAGTTATTGTTGAAGTTTCCTTTAAATAAACTCTGAATTCGAACGTACCCTGGCAATGTCCACGCCAGTTATGTTCTTGACCAGCTCCGGCACCTTGTTGACAATCTGCAATATCTCGCCGGTCAATTTGGCGGCACCAATATCGCCTTGGCCACTCGACACCATGGTTATCTTCCTGGCCTGCGACAAAGGCGCAGCCACTTCGGCGGCCACCTGAAACCACAAAACGGAGACCCATTAGATACATTTCCGATTGCTTGACAAGCACAGCGCACCTTCGGCAGCGTGTCCAAGAGCATTTCCACCATGGCGGCCTCGCGGTATTCACGCCAAGCGTCGGCCTTCATCGCCATTTGCTCAGCCTCAGCCTTAGCCTTGGCAGCAATGGCAAATGCTTCAGCTTCACCGCGTATCTTTATCTGTAAATGCACAACCGGATTTTTAGTGCTTCGGCCAGGGATTTACTCTGCAACCTTACCGATTCAGCCTCAGCTTCGGCCTCCATTACGACGCGCAGCTTGTTGGCCTCGGCCAATTTCTCCAGACGATATTTTTCAGCTTCGGCTGGACAGCGCACAGTGGCATCCAGCTCCTTCTCACGTCGCATAATTTCCTGCTCCTGCACAGCAATCTCCTGTGTGCGCTCGATAACCTTCACCTGCATCTGCTCCTCCTTGATGCGCTGCTTAGTCTTGGCCGCCTGCAGCTCGTATGCCATGTCGGCCTCGGCCTTCTTCGTTTGCACCTCCAGATCGTAGGCAGCACGCTTCAGCTCAAAGTCGCGCTGTGCCTTGGCAATGTCGGTGTCGTTAAGGAAACGGGCAGCCATGCGCTGCTCCTCGGCAATGGCCTCCTTGATGTGCGCCTCAGCACGTGCCTCAGCCTCACCAATGCGAGCATCGCGCTTCACCTCTGCCGTGCGCGCCATGCCCAACGATTTCAGATAGCCCTGCAAGGAATAGACCAAATCGAGAGCTCGTTGTACCATTGGGAATCGTAAATATAATGGATTTAAATGACTCCCAAAACACGGACCCACCATATACGCACCTTGGAGTCGCCCTGGTTGGTTAAACCATGAGTCGATATGTACATGCATGCAAAAATACATAATATTTCGGTTACTCAAAACAGAAAAATTTGTGCGTGTGAAAGACTCCTCAAAACAACATATCAACTGCATGCCCAGAGCAGAATCTAGTGAATTTAGTAAATCAAATCTGGGGTTGAGCTCACCTCCTCGTCACGCAGATCCTTAATTGTGTAGGAGACCACGGTGATGCCCATGTTGGCCAAGTCACTGGATGCCACCTCGAACACCTGCTTGCTGAACTTCTTGCGATCCTTGTAGATCTCCTCCACCGTCATCGAGCCCATGATGGCGCGCTGATGTCCCTCCAATGTGACGAGCGCAATGTGATTAATTTCCGCCTCGGTTTTGCCGAGAAACTGCTCGCAGGCTGTCAACAGCATATCCTCGTTCTGGCCCTGCACCTTCACCTGGGCAATGCCAGTCACAGAGATGGGCACGCCTTGGCTGGTGTAAACGCAGGGGCTTTCCACTTGCAGCGTCATCGTGTTCAAGGAAATGCTGGATGAAAAAATAAACAGAGACCGTTATTTGGTGACATCACGCCTCAAGGTCAAATCATTTAATTACCGTTGTACTTGTTGAATCGATGGCCAGACAAAGGCGCGTCCGCCTGGAACTAACAGTGGCTTCATATAACAGCATCCTAGCGTAAAATAAGATACAAATTCATGTCAATGCAATGTTTACAATTTAATCAAAACAAAACAAATACACCGGCAGCCTTATATACAAGCAAACATACGTACATATGTACTTGCATGTTTATTTTCGCCGTAACGGCGTCAGTCATGTGCGCACGCACGGCTTCGGACTGTTACAATTTGCTTGTACACAAAAATCGATAATCAGTGACGTCATTTGAGGGTGCTGCCCCGAGCCCAATTTATTTACAAATTTATTAAAGCTACTTGTTAGCTTTGATTGAGGGTAATATTTACCTGATACAACTAATGCCTCGTTTGGGCCACAAGTCACAAAGCCCCAAGTCATTTTAATAAACTAAAATTGCAATATTTAATTTCGATCACGAGTTGTTGCTGCGGCTTGTTGGTATTTCCCTTGGGCTTTATTAATGTGTAACCCGCATACAAAAGTACCGTTTCTTAATAAATAATTGAGATTCGATATCAAAATACAAAACAAATGTACATTTATAGAAACGGGCTTCTAACTTTAGATATATGAACGGGAAACGCGACCGGTCCGTCGAGAACACAAAAAGCAACTAAAAAGAAATTCTCCCGCGAGTGCGCACTGGGCATTAGATTTAACCCTTAGCTAGGCTTTGGGTTAATTTGTTTGCTGATAAGAAGGTGAGATTTGTTTATAATTCGGTATGTATATTTATGAAGATTTATTCTATAAATATTAAGTGAACTAGGTACAGTTGCAATTGTTGGTTCTTAAATTTACTTAATGTATATTTAAAATATTACAACTGATGGCATTCTCATGGTATAATTTGGTAAAAACTATGTAATAGAATTGCAATGAATTGAGGATAAAAACAATGTGTATAACTAAAAATACGTTCCTAAAATATACATACAATTTATATTATATTATATTATTGAAACAGTCGTTAGAACTACAAGTTAACTTGATTGCCACATTAATGACTCGAAGAGGAGCTATCTGTAAAATACGGATGCTGCATGGCAGCTTCCGCACTAATTCGCTGATTCGGACGGCAAACAAGCAGTTTTTGCAATAAATCACGGCCCTTGGTATTCAGTCTTGGTACAAGTTGGCTCCACGATGTAATAGGTGGAAAAGCTAGTAGAATAAATATGTTTAATTAGTTTTTGATTAGCAATAATCAGTGCGACCTACATGGAAGCGCAACGTAATCGGAGAGATGCGAGACACCGGGCCAGGATTCTTCAGTTGGTGTGCCAAGCACCCGGAATATTTTCAGCAGTTGATCGAGTACATCAGAGCCGGGAAATAGCGGACGACCTGCATCTGCTAATTCGGCCAATATGCAACCCGCTGACCACATATCGATGCTAGTAGTGTAGAGCTTGGCGCCGAAGAGCACATCGGGCGGACGATACCACAGCGTTACCACCTCGGCAGAATAGCATTTGACGGGTATGCCAAAGGCACGGGCCAAACCAAAGTCGGCCAACTTCAGTTCGCCGTTCTTGTTGATGAGCAAGTTTTGCGGTTTCAAGTCCCGATGCAGAACGTTGTGGCTAAAAAAGAGATATTCAATAAGCCGGCAATTGCAGCTGCATGTGGCACCCACCTGTGACAGAAGGCTAAGCCGCGCAACAGTTGCAGCATAAAACTACGACAAACGGCCATATCGATTTCTCCATTTAAGCTGTCAAAGTACTTTTTCAGGTCCTGATCGCAGTGCTCGAATACCAATGTCAATTTTTTATCGGAGTGCAACACATCACAGAGTCGAACTATATTTTTGTGCTTCAATTCCTATTGGTAGAGTGACGTGAACGTGTGGCTAAAGAATAGAGCATACCTCTGCTTGTAATCGCAAACAAACCTTTAGTAAGCATATTTCTCTCAGCGCGGAACTTGGCACACCCTCGTCGTCCTCGTCTAGACGTACTCTTTTTAGTGCCACAATTTCCATTGTGTCTCGATTACGGCCCTTGAACACCGTACCGTAAGTGCCCTCGCCAATCTTCTCCATTTTATCATATTTTTGCATGTTTATAAAATAATTTTGTCGCGATTACCTGAAAAACCGTGCGTGCTGCCAGACCGTCATTTAATCAGCTGTTTGTGGTCTTTTGATTCTCTTGCGAACATCAGTCACGTGAAGTTGGCTGCTGACGCAAATACGAGCCGACTGTCATTTAACGGCTAGTGACGGAAAAAGTTAAGAAAACATGCAGTTGCTATTAGTTTTAAAATAAATTATTCAGCTTAAACAAAGTTTTTCCTCTGTCTCTCTTTTTCTTCTTCTTTTAGTTGAGAAAATGGAGGCCTTAAACGATGATACTCTCATTCGCATACTAGGCTATTTAGATCTAAAATCACAACAAATCATGATAACTTTACATCCACGCTTCTTTCAATTGATGTCGATTGTGTGGTGCTCACAGTATAAAACTGTAAAACTGTCATTATATGAGGCAAATTTTTCACTCGAGCACTTGCGTCATTTCTTTCGAAGCATTTGCAATACTGTGCAAGTGCTGCATCTGAGAATGATGTCCTTGGAACAATATTATGTGCTCATCAGTTTCATATTCCCGAAAGTACATGATTTTCGCTTTGCAACAGCTCCAAGTAAATTGCTGTCCGATTCGGATATACCAAAGCTGATCCTGACTTTTCCAAATTTGAAAACATTCAGTCCTCATGGCAATTTTTCGGGCAGATACTTTACGGATTTTCCATTACTGGAGCGTCTAACACTGACATACTGCAAGTACTTCAGTGTTGAAAATCTGGCAAACGTTATGAAAGAACGAAAGCTAAAAGAAATCAAACTGTGTCTGTTTGATCGCAGAACAATTGAATCAAGCCATTTATGTCTGCCCGTGGCCTCTTTGGAAAATCTAGAATCAATCAAATTGGAACTTGATGAACTGCCATGGTTTGAGGACCACCTGGAAGCACTTAATCGCTTAAGCGAGCTCACGGTTTGTGGTTCTGGATTTATGGGAACACTCCCATTACTCTGCCGTAAATTGGGTTGCCTTACTCAGAAACATCATTTTAAAATATTGGAGACATGCAACACCACAGACACATTGTGCACGGTCATTGGATCTAAGCTTCGTGTGGATGCTCTTAAGATCGTAACGGATAATTACTTATTGGAAGACATGGGCTACTTTTCGCCTAACAACTTTGAGTACATAAAACAATTGTTTTTCAAAAGTTGCTGCATTCAAGAAAAAAAACATCTAAACAATCTAATGCACAACATTGCAAACGTAGAGCTCGTTAGCTTTGAGCAGTGTGTATTTACCTTTGACAACTATGAGTTTGTGGCAGCTAAAATAACTGAAAAGCGCAACAAATTACTGCAAGTAAATCTGTATCAAAACGCCTGCGTATTTTCAGTAAGTTATTAATATTTTACGGCGATTTATGTACTTAACTGGTTTTTCTTACAGAAATTACCATGGGTCTTTACAGTGGTTGGTCAACATCCGTTAGTTCAATTCCCGCCTGGCAGAAACTACGAATACACTTACGAACCCATATATATGTATTTGAAATAAATAAATAATGACAATACAATAAAACACTCTCAGAACACCTTGGGAGCAAAGTCAAAATCAAGTACAAATTCAACATATGTATATCTAGTTCTGTCTAAATAAAATATCGACTCCCGCTTTCCTCCGTAAATTGGCTTAAAATTCGAATTTCAAATAGGTGGCTATTCTTTGTTGAACGTAATTTTCAAAACGTAACGGGTTTTAACATTGCGTGCCCACTCTGTAAATACGTTGCACGATAACAGCACGCTAACAGGTTTGTTTTCACGCTTTTCGATTCTTTAACTGGTTCCAGGTTCACGCAAATGTTCACTGCGAACCAAACGCATTCGCTATAAATTAATTCGGTATAAAAATAAGTAAAATAAAGTAGAAATTAATATATTTTGCGCATTTAATTTAGTTTGCACGTTCATTTCCAAACAACACAGAAACTTGGGTGAGTTCCATGCAGGTGCGCAAAGTGAATGAAAGGTGAAATTTTATGCGCATTTCGACACCTTTGTCAACGCTTATTTGCGCAAAATAATAAGTTCCGAGTGTTGTTGTTGGTGGGCCAGCACAAATACACAGAAGTTGGCTCGCTTGGCGCAGGCAGAACCAGAGGCAGTGAAAAAAACAAACAACAGCAACAACAAGCAGAACAGCACCACTAACACCCAGAGCAACAACTACAGCAGCAGCAACAACAACAATAATACTTGCGCCAGTGGTCACAAGAAATGGCTAATACAAATATGATTAGCAGCAATCATAACAGTAACAGCAACAGCACCGCCTACACTTACAACAATTATAACAGTGCTAGTGCGGACAGCGGCAACAGCAGCGGAAGCAACGGTGGCAGCGGCAGCGGCGGTGGTGGCAGCGAGGTGCAAACGCTACGCGAAGTCTGTAACATGCTCAATACGGCCGCCCCAACCAATTATATGATACCAACAGGTGGTTGTGCGTACGATCACATTATTGCCATGATGCGCGGACTTAACCTGCAGGACGACGGCATTGTCCTGAACAACAAAATCAAAGCCATCGAAACGGATTTCTGCAACATTGTGCGCGACGAATCGATGCTATGGTATGTATATATTCGCGTATATCTCTGGTCTCCGTGTGTGAGTGTGTGTGTGTGTGTGTGTGTGTTTGCATGGCGTCGTCCATTGATGATTAATACATAAATATATATGTATGTTTATGTATGCATAGTATGTATGTACATTTCTGTGTATGCATGCATATATAGTATATATGTAGGTTCCTACGTCAGAGCTAGTATTAAAATTTACAACTTACTGTAAATGATGTCGCAATTCGGTCAAAATTGAGAACTAAGAGATTTAGCCTTATACAATGTGAGCAAGAGAGAGAAAGAGACAGGGAGTAAGAAAAATAAGCAAGTTTCCCGCCAGTTGGCTAAAATTGAGTTGTTGTCGAAGACTAAATACCCTTTGATATATTGTATGTATATACTGTCTGCAGTAAACATGGGGAATCTATGACAAGCTACTTTTTATCATATGCTTAATTTAAGTAAAGCAAACAACAGTTTATGCGGCTTATCAGTCATGTTCCTACTTGTCTATTTTCAACTATCGTAATAATTCGTTTTTTTTTGTAGTCAAATTTCACCTAGTTACTATATTTGTATTGACATTAAACCGTATAGGGTTTCTCTTATATGATTGAGGTTTTGTCTTTTGCACAATGCAGATATAATTGATACCCATATAACAATATAACAATAACATTGCACCGTTGTATTACTCACAAATTTCCCTTGAAATGCATTTCAGCGAATCCATGGACTACATGAACAACAAAGCTCTAACCGACGCTGAGACGGCACTGAAGTTCGCCCTGCTGTTCTCCTCGCGTAACTTTGATGCCCTCGCCATGAAGGAGACGAAAGTACGGAGCGCCATGCTGAAGATCCTGGAGACGAACTTCATCAATGCCGATGCGTATCGGCAGCACGACAAGAATCGACTGTACAACTCGATTACGCTGCTGGGCGAGTACTATCATCGTGTGCGTCTGGCGGACAATGCGCCGATAACCATCTTGGGCGACTCGCTTCTCAATTTGCTTACGCGCGAGATAAATGACGTTTCGGTGGTGATGAGCACGCGCCTAGCGCGCCTGGTTCTGTCACAGATCACGCTCAATGGCGAAATCATGCGCACGCGCCACAAGGCAGAAATCGATCAGTTGCTCTACCATGTCAGACGCCATTTGATCATGCAGCCGGCGCTGACGGCCAAGGTGAAAGCGATGCTGATGATGGTGCTCGATTTGTTCTACAGCCATTTCAAGCATGTGGGCCACGAACTGGAGGCGATGTATACAGAATACTTGGTGGTCGACGAGGACGAGGATGATGGCTTCAACAACAACAACAACAACAATAATGCGGCGGAAACACAGCCACAGTCGGACGCGTACAGCGGCCAGAGTCCAGCCACCGGTTACAGTGACGAGGAGAACGGCAGCAGTGCCAACAACTCGGCACAGGAGGTGCCCAAGAAGTGGAGCGAGCAGGTCTGCGAGGATTCGCTATGCGATATTGTTTACGGCGAGGGGTCGCCCAATGGCGATGAGCAGCAACAGTTCAGCGAAAATGCTGGCAATTCCTATCAAAGCCACGACTCTTCCAGTTCCAGCCGTCAGGCCAGACGTGGCTATCAGCCGCGCCATGTGCCGCGTCCGCTCAAGCCAGCCCATTCACAGGCGCCGCACGCAGAGTAAGTAATCTTTCGAATTTTATGTCGTATTTTTAATCGTTTGTTAATCCTTCGCAGCAATATCAGCTCCGATCAGTATCCATCCATGGCCAGCAGCGAGGATCGCGATGAGTCAAAGCCGCTGCCAAGCTGGCGCAAGACACGCTTCAACCGCCCCAACGATGGTGAACAGCCGAATGGACGCTCACGTCATGACCAGCAGCGTCGCTATAGCGTCAGTTGCGATGACGACCATCAGAGCGTGCGAAGCGAGGGTCGCGGCAATTTGCGTCTCTACAGCATTGATGATCGCAGGAAGCACTCGGAAGAGCGCTATGAGCGCAATCTGGGCGGCGGCAGCAACTATAACAACATAGTGAACTCCAATTGGGATCAGCGAGACGATCGCAGCGAGCGCTCCTATATAAGCAACTATGAGCGCGGAAATAGCTACAAGCGCGGCGGGCGCTACAACACTCACAATCGCAACACGTACGACAAACCGCCGCGTTTCCAAAAGCAGCAGCAACAACAGCAGCAGCAGCAGCAACAACAACACCAACAGCACAGGGATCATCAGAAGATACACAGTGAAACCTGGCGTCGCTCAAACAATGCCATAAACAATGCATATCAGGATGAGAATTGTGCGTACAATTCGAATGGGCCCGAGTCCAACAGCCGCAGCTCGTCGCGTGCACGCACTCTGCCGCGTCCGCCCAAATCCCAAATGGATGATGGCGCCCGGAAACCCAACACCAACTATCGCTACAGCCAGAGTCCGACACGTGGTGGCGGCAGCGGCGCCGGTGGCGGTGGGCCGCGCACTTTTCCGCGTTACAGCAGTCAGAGCAGCCTGGCAAGCGAAGCGTCCAGCACTTTTGATCGCCGCCAGCAGCCGACACGCCCACATCAGCATCAACATCAAAATCAGCATCAACATC